ATAAACACTTCAATTAATAGGCAGAATGGATGAAAAACATGACCCAACTATATACTGTCTATAAGAGACACATTTTAGATGCAAAGACACAAATAAAGTAAATAGATGTAAAAAAATTTACCATGCAAACAGTAACAAAAAGAAAGCTGGAATAGCTATACTAATATCAGATAAAATATAATTTAAAATAGAAAATGTTATTAGAGATAAAGAACAATATTTTTTTATAATAATAAAAGGGGCCAGACATGGTGGCTCACCCCTGCAATCCCAGCACTTTGGGAGGTGGAGGTGAGAGGATTGCCTGAGCCCAGGGGTTTGAGACCAGCCTGGGAAACTTAGCAAGACCTCATCTCTACAATAAATAAAAAAATTAGCCTAGCATGGTGGCATTCACTTATAGTTCCAGCTACTTAGAAGGCTTAGGTGGAAGGATTGCTTGAGCCCAGCTGGTCGAGGCTGTGGTAGCTGTGAGCATGTCACTGAACTCTAGCCTGGGCTATTTCAACTAAAAATAATAATACTTATTATTTAAGAGTCAATCCATCAAGAAGATATAACAATAATAAACATATATGCACCTAACAACAGAGCCTCAAAATACATTTTTTAAAAAACAGGCAGAATTGGAGAGAAATATAGATAATTCAACAATAACAGTTGGAGACTTCAATCTCCCCACTTAAAGGAATGGATAAAACAACTAGACATAGGATCAACAAGGAAAGATTTGAACAAGGCTATAAAAAAATCACACCTAGTAGACATCTATAGAACTTAACTGTACAACAGCAGAATACACATTCCTCTCCAGTGCACATGGAACATTCTTCAGGACAAATTATATGTTAAACCCAAAAGTAAATCTCAGTACATGTAAAAGGACTGAAGTCATGCAAAGTATGCTCTCTAACTATAATGGAATGAAATTAGACATCATTAACAGAAGTTTGGGAAATTCACAAATAAGTGGAAAGAAACAACATACTCCTAAATAAGCAATGGATCAAAGAAGAAGTAAATCACAAGAGGAATTAGAAGATACTTTGAAACGAATGAAAATGAAAACACAACACATCAAAACTTAAGGGATGTAGCTAAAGTGATGCTTAAAGAGGAATTCATAGTTATAAATGTTTATATTTAAGAAGAAGAAAGATATAAAATCAATAACCTAATCTTTCATCTTAAGAAATTAGGAAAAGAAGGGCAAACTAAGCCCAAAGCAAGCAAAAAGAAAGAAAGATAAGAGTGGAAGTAAATGACAGAGAATAGAAAAATAACAGAGAAACCAGTGAAACAAAAAATCTGTTATTTGAAAACATCAAGAAAATTGACAAACATTTAGGCTATGAAAAAAGACAAAAAACTATAATTAATAAAAGCAGGAATAAAAAAGGGGACATTACTACAGACCTTACAAAAATAAAAAGGATTATAAGAGTACTATAAATGATTGTTTGCCAATAAATGAGAAAACCTAGATAAAATGGAGAAATTCTTAGAAAAATACAAACTACCAAAGCTGACTCAAGAAGAAATGGAGGCTGAGCTCGATGGCTCATTCTGTAATCCCAGCACTTTGAGAGTGAATTGCCTGAGCCTGCAGGTTCGAGACCCACCAGACAACTTGGCAAGACCTCGTCTCTACAATAACTCAAAAAAATTAGCCGGGCATGGTAGCACGCACCTGTAGTTCCAGCTACTTGGAAGGATCACCTGAGCTCAGCAGGTCAAGACTGCAGCGGAGCTGGGCTTGGTGGCTCAGCCTGTAATCCTGCGCCTTGGGAGGCTGAGGTGAGTGAATTGCTTGAGGCCGCGGGTTCGAGACCCGCCTGGGCAACTTGGTGAGACCTCATCTCTACAACAAATCAAAAATTAGCCAGGCGTGGTAACGTGTGCCTGTAGTTCTAGCTACTCGGAAGGCTGAGGCGGAAGGCTCACTGGAGCCCAGCAGGTCGAGGCTGTGGTGGCTGGGAGTATGCCACTGCCCTCCAGTCTGGGCGACAGAGTGAGACTCCAACTCAAAAAAAAAAAAGAAGAAGAAGAAGAAATGGAAAATCTGGATCGACTTATAACAAGTGAAGAGATTGAATTAGGAATTTTAAAAAACTTCCTACAAAGAAATGTCAGGACCAGATGTCTCCACTGGTGATTTCTACTGAACATTAAAAAATAACTACAGTCAATTTTCACAAAATCTTATAAAAAATAGAAGAGGAAGGAACACTGTCCAGCTAATTCTGTGAGACTAGTATTATCTGATACCAAAACCAGACATAGACATAAGAAAAGAAAACTACAGGGCTGGGCATGGTGGCTCATGCTTGTAATCTCAGCACTTTGAGAGGCCAAGCTAAGAGGATTGCTTGAGCCAGGAGTTTGAGACCAGACTGGGCAACATAGTGAGACCTCATCTAGAAAAAAGGAAGAAAAGAAGGAAGGGAAAGAAAGAAAGTGAAAGGAAAGGAGAGAAAACTACAGATCAATGTCTTTTATGGATATAGACACAACAATCCTCAACACAATACTACAAATGGAATCTCATGATATAGAAAAAGAATCTACACACTGGGCATATGGCTCATGCCTGTAATCCAGCACTTTGGAAGGCTGAGGCAGGAAGATTGCTTGAGCCCAGGAGTTAAAGACCAGCTTAGGCAACATAGCAAGACCTTGCCTCCACAAAAAAAAAAAAAAAAAAAATCAAAAAATTAGCTGGATGTGATTAGCTGAATGTGCCTATAGTCCCAGCTACTCAGGAAGTTGATGCAGGAGGATTGCTTGAGCCCAAGAGTTTGAGACTGCAGTGAACCATGATCATACCACTGCACTCCAACCTGGGCAACAGAGTAAGACCCTGACTCAAAAAAAAAAAAAAAAAAGGATTTATACCATGACCAAATGAGATTTAGCCTAGGAAAGCAAGTGTCTACACCTAGACATATCATAAACAAACTTATGAAAATATCAAATTGCATGAAAATCAATTAATGTAATACATCATATTTGTAAAATAAAAGGCAAAATCTACATGATCATAAATACAGAAAATCATTTAACGAAGTCCAACATGCTTTCATGACAAAAACACTCAATCAACTAGGAAGAATAGAAGGAGAACTGTCAACACTTAGATAATAGTTAATATATGTCATATGTGTTGTTCTAACCACTTTACATTTATTCAGTAATTTCATTCTCACATCAACTATATAAGGTGAAAACTATTATTACGTACGTTTTGTAAATGAGTAAACTGAGGTACAGAGCATTGAAGTAACTTTTACTATGTTAGGCAACTAATAATTTGTGGACCTAAGATTCTCATACAGAAATTCTGGCTACAGAGTCCATGCTGTTAATCACATTCCATTCTACTGTCTCTCAAAGAATGTAGAATAATAATAATGACAAAATGATAAACAAATTGGGTTTCCTTAGAACTAATTATTTTATCATTATCAATAAGTGAACTTAATTCATAACACTGTTTTTTGTTTGTTTTGTTTTTTTTTTTGAGTCAGAGTCTCACTCTGTTGTCCAGGCTGGAGTGCAGTGGCATGATCATGGCTCACCACAGCCTCCTGGGCTCAGGCTATCCTTCTGCCTTAGCCTCTCAAGTAGCTGGGACTACAGGCGCAAACCACCACACCTAGCTAATTAAAAAAATTTTTTGTAGAGATGAGGTCTCGCTATGTTGCCCAGGCTGGTCTTGAACTCCTATGCTCAAGCAATCCTCCCACCTTGGCCTCCCAAAGTGCTGGGATTACAAGTGTGAGTCACCATGGCTGGCCCATAACATGGTTAACTTATATCAATTATCATAATTTATAATACTGGTGAGAATTGGTAACACTAGTAGCAGCATTTATTTAATCAAGTTGGTAATGCTGGACCAATATTGATATTTAATTGTAATTTTAGTTATAAAATCAGTGATTATATAAGCAAACATAATTTATAACATTGGTGGAAATTGGCAAAATTAGTTGTAAAATTTTATGGCATTAGTAACAATTATTCAATTTCTATTTGTAAATAAGTTTTAGTTCATAACTGTGGTACTCATAATTTATATCAGTAATCAGAACTTTAATATTAGTAATTATTTATAATAGCAGTTAGAATGCTAAACACAATAGTAACTACTTCTATCAGGAACTATAAGAAATTCAAAACACAGGTAGTCATAATTTATATTAGCAATCTTAATTTATAACATTGGAATAATTTGCATCTGTAAGAATATTTTACACTGTTTATGCTAATAGCTTCATTTCTTTTAGTAATTAAAATTCAATTCGCAACATAGGTACTAGTCATTTATACTGATAATCTTAGTTTGTAACACTGGTAATAGATTATAATATCACTTGTTATATTTGATGATATTAGTAATGGATAATTCAATTTCTGTGAAGTATAATTCAAAGTAGGCACTTGTAATTTAGAGCATAATTTGTAATATCAATAATCATCAGTAATAATAATTGCAATCTTTGATATACTACTAATGACTATTCAATTTCTACCAGGAACTATAATTCAATTCATAACATAGACACTCATGACTTACATCAGTAATAATAATTTGCAGTACTGGTGATAATTTGTAATATTAGTGATTATATTTTATAAGAATAGTAGTCAGCAATTTAATTTATATTTGTAAACAATTTAGAACATTGCTACTAATAATTTTTATTGGCAGTCCTAATTTGAAATATGTGTAAAATTTCTATCAGGAGAATATCTGATAATGTTACTAACAGTGACTTGACAACAGGATCTGATAAATATTGAGATGGATGATTTGATTCACACTTGTAACCATAAGGCAATTCATGGTATTAACAGACCTGATCACAAAGCAGCTTCATGCCACCACATGCACACAGCGGCTGCACGCTCACACTCTGAGATTGCACCATTGGTAATATCATTGCAATAGTTACGACTCTTTTCCCTCCTGCCCACTCTATTTCCCCCAAACTCACCATCTCTTTGTGATTGGGGTAGAAGGTCTGATCGATTAGTGGAAATTCCTCTGTCCCCAGTTTCTTGTGCAGTCGAACCATCTGGGCAAACTGTGAAAACCAGGAGGGTCTGGTCAGCAAGTCCCTCACCTGGGGAGCCTCTAAGCTTCTGACCGTCCTCGCTTCCCAAAACATCATAGGTTTCAAGCTCCGAAGCGCATGCACAAGCTATTTCCTCTGCCAGTGGTACCCTTCCTGCCACTTACCACCCAGGGCTTGTCACAGAAGTTGTACACAGAATGCAAAGAATTAACACTGGGGATTCCAGCATATTGCAGCCCGATGACCAAACTGCGGTAGTCTCCGTTGCGCGCCATGCTGAAGGCATGCTGTCGGATCAGCACAAAGTCCGGCTTCAGAGACCTGGGGTGGTAGAGGTAGGAATACTGTCAGTCCCTCCAGAAGCCCTCCACCACCCTCAGAACAAAGACCAAGTTTCTAAAACTTCACAGCTCCCAGAAATCGCAAAGTGATTTCTTATTTCTGTGCACTTGTATAAGTTGTTCTCTCTGCCTCCTGTGCCCTTTCTACCCTTCCCCATCTGGTGATCCCCTTGAATCCTGTCCTACCTACTCCCCTCTTTACCAAGGGCAGCTTGCAGCTCACCCACTCAGCTCTGACAGCTCTCTGGTCACAGTCTCTCCAACTACCAGCTGTCTTCAAAGTGCGCTGCCCAGAATAAATTCAAACAGCAGGGCCTCTACCCAAGCTGTTCCCTCTGCCTAAAACATTTCATCCCTAGATATCTGCATGGATCACTCCTTCACCTCCTTCAGGTCTCTCCTCAAATGTCTCTCCTACTACTGGGCCACCCTATCTAAACTGCAGTTCCCACCACCATCCAATGATCCCTACATTTATTTTACTGCTATCTTTTTTCTTAGCGCTTTTACATTTCCTTATATATTTGTTTACTGTATGTGTCCCACAGTAGAATGTCAGCTTCGTGAGGCCAGGGTTTTTTTTTTTTTTTTTTTGGTCTTTCAGTATGCAGAACAGCTCCTGGCACACAGTAGGTGTTCAGTAAGTATTTGTTGAGTGTAAAGGGCTAAGAGCAGCACCTGCCTGCAGGAGATGCTTAACAAATGTTTGTTGGGATAGGTGCAGTGGCTCACACCTGTAATCCCAGTAATTTGGGAGGCTAAAGCGGGAGATTGCTTGAGCCCAGGAGTTAGAGAACAGCTTAGGCAACATAGTAAGACCTCATCTTTACCAAAAAATTTTAGTGGGGCATGGTGGTGTGTGCCTGTAGTCCCAGCTACTTGGGAGGCTGAGGCAGACGGATCGCCTGAGCCCGGGGGCTCCAGGCTGTGGTGAGCTGTGATTGTGTCACTGCATTCCAGCATGAGCAACTGAGTGAGACCCTGGTTCTCCCTAAAAAACAAAGTTTGTTGAATTAATATTTTTATTTATTTATTTATTTATTTATTTATTTTGAGTCGGAGTCTCACTCTGTCGCCCAGACTGGAGTGCAGTGGCCACTCCCGGCCATGGCAGCCTTGACCTGCTGGGCTCCGGCGATCCTTCTGCCTCCGCCTTCCAAGTAGCTGGAACTACAGGTGCGCGCTACCACGCCCAGCTAGTTTTTTATTTATTGTAGAGATGAGGTCTCGCCAAGTTGCCCAGGCGGGTCTCGAACCCGCGGGCTCAGTCAATCCACTCACCTCAGCCTCCCAAGGCGCGGGATTACAGGCTGAGCCACCGAGCCTGGCTTGTTGAATTAATAGTTAAAAAGTTTGGCTTGTGGTCTGCTGAGATCCTTAGCTCTTCTTCAGAAGAAAGTGAATTCTCTACATTCTATGCCTAAATTCTTGCCTACGGAAGGATTAGTGGAGAGGTGGGGATTCTCTCTATAGGTCTAAGGAAGTCGTTATACTTCGCTTATAACACCAAGTTGCCCTTTTTATACTCACCGCACGACCTTCACCCCATTCCGAAGAACTTCCATATCCACAGAGAATCCACCATTAGCATGAGCCACGAGGTTTAGATCAGAGAATTCAGCCTGGGAAGGAGAGAAAATCGGTGATTCACCCACAAAACTCAAAAATGACCATTCAATTTTCAGTCTGGACAGTTGACTCCCAGGTCCATCTGCCTCAACTTACCTGTTCTACTTTAATGTCAATTTCTCCATGGATCTTTTTCCCCTTGAAGTATTTTGCCCTGGAGAGGAAAATCAAAGCACATCTGTCAATGCTCAAATCTCAGAAATGAAGACAAAAACCCAGGTTGGTACCTTGACCCCTTTGCCCCTTCAGTGCTACTAGAGAAACCATAAAGTGCTTTATAATTGCTGAAATACTTTGAAAAAATCAACAGTGCTTTGTGAACAATAAAGTTTATCGTAATCCTCATGGAGGGCCATAGACATTAAAGGATATTATAAACTGTAAAATACAGCCTTAAGGTAGCCGGGCTCGGTGGCTCAGTCTGTAATCCTGCGCCTTTGGGAGGCTGAGGTGAATGAATTGCCTGAGCCCGCGGGTTCGAGACCCGCCTGGGCAGCAAGACCTCATCTCTACAATAAATCAAAAAATTAGCCGGGCGTGGTAGTACGCGCCTGTAGTTCCAGCTACTCGGAAGGCTGAGGCGGAAGGATCGCTGGAGCCCAGCAGGTCGAGGCTGCGGTGGCCGGGAGCGGCCACTGCACTCCAGTCTGGGCGACAGAGTGAGACTCCAACTCAAAAAAAAAAAAATACAGCCTTAAACCGCAGAGAGCAGGCATTTCCCAAAATATGGTCTGCTTATCACACTGCTGTTGGTAAATGTTTTAGAAAAGCTTTCCAGGATGAGTAGCGCTATGTAAATTGAGACATACTTTGAAATTGCATGGGGGTCTGTAAATGACAAAGAACCTTAGAAAATGCATACTTCTGAAGTGTGCCTGTGTGCACTTTTTAGTGTCTATGCATGTCTCGGTGCCTGTGTCTGCTTGTGTGGTCTGAATCCTCTCTCTGCTCTCTGACTCCTTCCTAAAGGAGAAGCTTGTTCACCATGTGTGGCTGTGTGCTGTGAGGGACACGACAGCCGAGGGTGGGCAGCTGCTTCCAAAAAGGGGTGGATTGAGGGGTGCAGGCTGAGGTGGTTCTAAAGAAGCCAGTGTAGCTGGCAATGATGGGGCGGGGAGAAACACAGCTGAGGACGAGGGAAATTGCAGGAGGGAGGGGGAGTAGGAGCAGCAGCAGGCACATCACGAACTGCTATGTCATTGTCCCTGGGCCCATCCCTAGCTGGGCTTGGTTTCCGGTGGCCTCCTCCCCCAGGCCCAGGATTTCTACCTGATAGGTTTCTGCACAGATGGAAACTCATCCCCAGTCAGGCTACTCATGGAAGGGGACGAAGGGAAGAGATACTCCTAGGGCCACTGGTCACTGACATGCACACAGTCGGGGTCTCTGACACGTACATATCACACAAATGGACCCTGGTGACTTGACTGACACACTGACATACACAAAAGACCCAAGTACAGTTGTTTTCTTGTGTTTTTTTTTCTCTCTCTCTTTCACACACACACGCGCGCGCGCGCATACACACACACACACGCATACACCATCACTGACACTGTCTCCTCACAAGAATCTCTCAGATTTGCCCATTTTTCATCTATAAACTGATGAGTGTGAATGATGAGTGTACATCACTGCTTTAAAAGCTTTTCTCACCATTCAGTGTTGTGGAGACTGTGGTGTTCTGCCCAGGCTTCCTCTTCAGAGCCAATGTACCTTGAATAGCAGCTGCTGACAGCTCATGGCTGTGTCCCCATTGGAAATTGTCTTCTGTCACAGGCAAGTGCCTTGGCCAAGGTTACACCTACTAGGTGAGGCTGAGGGCAGCCCATGGCCCATATCTGTTCTATGAGAGGGTAGAAGGCCAGCCTCCTTGCCTTAATCTGGGCTGACACTAGAGGATCATCCCAGCTCCAGAGCTCCCCCTAGGATCTGCTGAGGCCTCTCATGCCACCACATCGTGGGCCGGCCTCTCCCTCTGCTCAACCCAACCCTCCTCACAGGTGCTAATCCCAAAGGCACTCCCCAGTAAACCCCTGCACAGAAGTCAAAGTAATAAGCAGATGCAATGTGATTCTGGAGCTGGGTCACCCAGCAGCTAGAAGGCAGTAAGGCTCTGTCAGTGGTGGGAGGTAGAGCACAGACAGCTCCTGACATGCTGCAGCAAGGCAAAGCGCTCTGCAGCCGGCCAGGCTGTAGGGCAAGCATAGGATGCTACTTAGGCCATATGATCTGGCAGATCCTATGACACTGGAGGTGTCAGTAGTGGGAAAAGATGTTGGGTGGAGATTATTCTCCCAAGCGGGAGAATACGTCACGGGCCCCCCGGGGTTTTGGAGGGGAAGTGACTCTTCCTGTGGGTTGTAATGGGATTCTGGTGAAAGAGAAGGGATCTGCTGGTGAAATATCTCTGGCACTTGAGAGGTGTGTGGGAAATGGTAACCAGACTTGGGTGACTATTCCCTAAATGTCACTGAGTGGCTGAAGAAAGACCCGACATGCTCAGGGTGAATAATTATCAATTCAAGGCAAAATGTGAAAGCCAGACGGCCACCCTGGCTGCATTTGAGGAAACCCTAATATCCTGAAGCCAGAGGGCAGATAGAGGGGAGGATGATGCTCAGGATTTAACTGTCAGTGTGGTGAAGGCCTAGCACATCTTCTATGCCATGCTCGGGGCCCTAATAGGACAGGAGTGGTATTCTGAGGCTTGGGATGGGGATATCTGGGCAGATGCAGTTAAACACCTTGAGCTTACAAACTCACCTGAACCCGCTGGGCCTGCAGAAGTAGGCCACTCCTCCGTGTTAGAATTAGGCCTTCCCTCTGCTTGAAAGTAACACAGAGGCTCGAATGAAGCAGGTGCCTTATAAGACAATCCTGCCCCTCTCAGAATCTACCCCCTACCTTCTCTCCTGGGAATCAGACCAAAAACTAGGGTCAAATCCTCACACAACCTGACTGGACAGGTTCTAGGCTTACAAAGGAAGGAGAAAAACGATACATTGAAGGAGCTGAAGAATCTGGCTAATATGTATGAGCAGGAGCTGGGAAAGTATGCATGGGACTGGATCCCGAGGACCATGGATCAACGTAGTGGAACATGAAGATGGAGTTCTCTTCCAGGATATGGAACTTAAAACCCTAGCAAGGACTCCAGGAGACGTTACACTGCTAAGGTGACCCTTGCAAGCTTGAAGAAAATAATGTCCCACACTAAGTGAAGCAGAAATGCTAAAACTTTCATGGTAGATTGTGGAGGGAAGGATCAAAGGGCTCAAAGTAGCAGACAAGTTAGAGGAGATATACTAATTAAGTCTTGAAAACCCACCAGCTGATTATGTCCTATGGGAAGGCCCAAGAGAACATAGTCAACCCAACTTGAAATGTCAATAAGAAATATGCTGGTGACAGTGGCACCAACCATGTTGAAAGCACAATAGTGGTAGGTAATAAATGATGTCCTGGCCCAGGTCCTGCTCACAGTAGATCCGCTGGGTCCAGAGACCACCAGGTGGTCACTTCCCCAGTTCACAAATGCATAATTGGAATAACATACTTAATAGTTGTCAGAACCCCCACATGGGCTCCTTGGCCTGTAGGATAAGAGCTACTGCAGTAGGGAAGTCCAAATGGATGCTTTTGAAACAGTACACACCCCCATGCTCTGATCAAAACAGTAAATCAAAAACAATACTGTAGGCATCCTAGAGGTGATAGCAGACATCAGTGCCACTCTGGAAGGTCTAAAGTCTGCAGGGTGGTTGGTCCCATTGTATCTTCACTGAATTAAGCAGTTTGGACCCAGTAGAGGCTGGAAGGATCCTGGAGAATGCTTGTAAACTACTGCAAGCACAACCAAGTAGTCCCCTTGATTGTGTCTGCCATGCTGGACATGCTATTATTGCCAGATCAGAATAATAAGACCGACAGCAGGCGGTCACCAATTTGGCAAATGCATGCTTTTATATTCTGATTAGAAAAGTGGATCAGATCATGTAAGACTGACAATAACATTCATTAATGGTTTTGCCATATGGCTATGTTAGCTCTCTCTCCTTGTGACATAATATAGTCCAAAATAACTTGGGCCATTTGAACATTCCATGGACCACCACACTGGACGCTATATCAATGACATACTGAATGCACAAGCTGGACAGAAGATGGTTAGCACATTGCCTTGATAAGACACATGCACTCCAGAGGGTGGGAGGCAAACCCTACAAAGACTCAGGGGTCTGCCACATTGTTAAAAATTTTAGGAATCCAGTGGTCCAGGGCATGCCAGGACAGCCCTCCAAAGAACAGGACAAAGCATTGCATCTTGCACCTGCTGCCACGAAGAGTAAAGCACAATACTTAATAGGCCTCTTCCCATTCTGGAGGCAGCATATTCCAAATCTGGAACTACTGCTCTGATCCCCATTCCAGGTGACATGTAAAGCTACCAGCTTTGAGTGGGAGCCAGAGCAGAAAAGGGCTCTGTAGCAGGTCCAAGCTGCAGTACAAGCAGTTCTGCCACTAAGGCCATATGATCCAGCAGATCCTATGATACTGGAGGTATCAGTAGTGGGAGAAGATGCCGGGTGGAGCTTATGGGAAGTGGGAGGCCCTTGGGGTTCTGGAGATGGGCCATGCCATCTGTAGCAGAGAAATATATGCCTTTTGAGAAACAAATTCCACTGCAGCACTGGGTCCTGAGAGAGATGAAATGCCTGACCACGAGGCACCAAGCGATCATGCATCCAAAAGTTCCCATTATGACCCTGGTGGGGCCTGCCAGACCCACCAAGTAAGAATGTCAGATGGGCCCAGCAGCCAGGATTGAGCCCAAGCAGGACCAAGCAAGGTACGTGAGCAGGTAACCCAGATCACCATGTCTTCCCCAACTGTTGTGCTAGTGCCTGTCCCTCAGCTAAGGGGTTCCTTATAACCAGCTGATGAAAGAGGAAAAAGCTTAAGCTTTGTTCACAAATGGTTTGTTTTGCTATGTGGGTAAAAGCCAAAAATGGACAGTGGCTGCACTGTAGCCCCACTCAGAATGGCCTTGAAAGACACTGGCAGAGCTCCCAGTGGGCAGAGCTCAGGCTGTGCACCAGCTCACCTACTTTGTGTAGAAAGAGAAGCATCTCAGGATTAGAATATGTATAT